AGGATATATCTTGTAAATAAAGTGCAACCTCCCTAATGTGAACCATAATTAGAGTGATCATACATCTCAGTTTAAGCCATTATTGTTCCAGTGTGTTTATTAATAGCAACTCCATTCCATTTCCAAATGCTTTGTTGGTAATTTACATGGTCACTCTACTTATAAAACCTCACTTGTTTTGCACTCTGGTTATATTAAATTCCTTCCAGTTCCCTTTATTCATTATAGTATCAATTAATTCTGGGCTTTTGGCACTCTCTCCTGCCTCACCCTTTTGGCTGGACCAGTTCCTATTTCTCCAATTTACCCTTCACGTGTCAGCATGTATTGAAATTGTTCTATAAAATTACCTAATATTCCATGTGTTTAGTTTGTAGCCCTCCTATTATTCTCTCACTGTAGAATTTAACAGACCATCATAACAATCTGTTCACTGAGCTATCTACCTCACTAGACTGTAAGCTCTTTGAAGGCTGGGGAATTGTATGCCCTCTTCTCCAATACTGTTTACCTAGCACATAGAACAAGTAGCTGTTAAGCAAATATTTACTCACCACATCCTCTGCACGTTAAGACTCTGAGGAAATAAAGTGCACCCTTTCTTACTGGAAACCCCTGATCTGAAACAAGGAAACCTAGAGCACCATTATGGTCTAAATAAGTGGCTTGCTTATATAAAAATTAAAAAAACCCTCCAGGGATTGAGTAAAAAACAAAACAAAACCCTCTGGGGAAATAGCCAAGAGTGAGATTTAAGTGTTCTACAACATTCCTGCCGAGTTCTTGCCTTTCCTTGGGGCATCTATCATTTTGATTCCCACCGCACTTCTTGATCCTCAGAGTTCAGTTTTTCTCTTTGTCCTAAATATGGAAAAGAATTCTTTGCTTCTATTATCATCAGCTGAAAGAGACTAGAATTATTTTCTAATAAATAATACAAAGAGCAATAAAAACCCAAAGAAAGGAAAAACCAGGAGGGACTAGTAATAACCACAAAAATGATAAATGTCATAAAAATAAGCAAGTTTTCAAAACACAGTTTTGTGTTCCAATAAAAGCAGCAGTAAACTGGACTGTGCTTCACATTCCCTTACCCTAAGATAATGATTATATTCTAGTTCCAAATAGGCTGCCATATGTTTGCCTATACCTTGTCTGTTTATAGGGAACCCCCTCCCCCCCCCCCCCAGTCTGGTTTTATCTTGTTTTCTTAGCATCTGGAAAAATATTGACTTTGGATATCTTATCCAATCTAAGGCAAATATCAACTTCCTTAAGCTGACTCTTTCCTTATTCAACTTCCCTTGCTGAGGATCTTCCTTTTAGACTTGGTTCCTGATCTGAGATGAATTCTACAGCAGAGGTATAGATTGCTGGCAAAGGATGCCTTGGGGCACCATTGGATGATCCTAAACTTCTCAGTTCAAGGTTTCAGTTCTGCACTCTTTTGAAGTCTGGGGTGCCAGTGTCCCTTAGCATACATACTTATGTGCGTACACACATACAATATACAGGAGAGAAACCCTGCCCAAGTTCACCCACTGCATTTAAAAATATAATAGTCCTGCCCAACCAGCATGGCTCATGGTTGAGCATCTATCTATGAAACAGGTCACTGTTTGATTCTACGTCAGGGCACATGCCCGGGTTGCAGGCTCAATCCCTGGTGTGGGGCGTGCAGGAGGCAGCCAATCAATGATTCTCTGTCATCATTGATGTTTCTCTCTCTCTCTCCCTTCTTCTCTAAAATCAATAAAAATAAATTTAAAAAATACAATAGCTCTTATTATGCCATAATCACAATTTGCACCAAAAATTGAAAAGAATAGTTGAACAAGACTTAAACTTCTTAGAATTTGTTTATGTAACCTGAGAGTCTGGTAGGATATTATAGGACAGTAGGTCTCCAAATGTGGTCCTTGGACCAGGATCATCAGCATCATGTGGGAACTTGCTAGAAATGCAAATTCTTGGGTTCCACCCAAGACCTCCTGAATCAGAATTCTGGAGGTAAGAACCAGGAATCTATGTTTTAGGAAGCCCTTCAGATGAGTCCAAAACACTTTAAAGTTTGAGAATTGCTGTTTTAGGAGAATCATCCTCATTTTAGAATAATAGAAAGTTGATTGCATTGCATTCAACTATCAAGTGCTTTAATGACAGGTAGAGCATTACATAGCAATTACTGAAATTTTACCGTTGTTTCTGTGTGCCTACTAAACATTTTTCCACTGCTAGTACTAGAGTTGGCAGGAATAAAGTTGAAGGAAGCAGATTACAATATTTGAACCAGTGAATAAATTAAATTTCCCCTATATTTGTTGAGTTGCAGCCAGGAAAAAAAGAAAAAAGAAAACAAATTCCCCCCACATCTGAGCAAAAACTACAAGTAGGCAGGGGCTGGGCACTCCTTAGAATGGAGCGTAGAATCGGCTCTGGCCACAGCGAAAGCCCTTACTCAACATATGTTGCAAGTTGTGAGTACGACTTCTACCCCTAATTGCCTTTCCTTTATGTGGCTTTCACTTGTGGCTGGGTCCGCCTGACAGGTGCTCTGTGTTCCAGAGTGGAGATCAAAAGAATTCACGGGAAGCCCCTTCTCAGGATGTGAGGAATGTACAGCCGAGAGATAAAATGCTCCTTGGTATTACCATTTCTCCCCCTCTCTGAACAAGGCATCTAGGTTCCTCAGGGAAGCTACTCTCTTACAACAACAACAACAACCGTAACGGCCACCAGTTTTCCTATGTAAGGGCTTCAACCTCCTATTTGCCTTTGAGTTGTCAATATTCCTAACAAGCTGTTTTTCCCTGATCATCACAGAGCAATGTGTTATCATTAACCTGGGGACAGGCTCAGCATTGCTGCACTTTGCCAAGAACTTTTAACTGGTGATTCCTGATGTATATTTCACACAGCAATGAGTTTAAGTCTTGTCCTGGTCAAGCAGTTGATGCAAGACAGAAACTCCTCAGAGGCAGCAGAGGTGACTGGGCATGTGCAGTGGGTATCCTGACTTGGCCACAGGGACCTGGCAGGAGAAGGGGAAACATATCTTTTTCACCCATTGCCTATAGTGTCCCATCATATCCCATCTGGGATGTAGAATCAGTTTGGCTTGTAAAGCTGATGTTTCATCTGGAAACCAAGGTTTCCTCCATCCAACCGCTTACGTTAGGATTTGTGCGAGGAATCATCTGGGATCCTACTTTGTTGACCTGAATATACTAGGTCCATTCCAAAATATGTTGCTGCCATCTAATTCCCCCCCGCCCCTCAAGTCTTGGCATCACATTTGGGAACTAGAAAAATGTGAGCTTGTTCTAGGAACAAATCTTTGTAAGTGCTCTATGTGAAAAATGCTTTTGGATGACTGGCTTTCAGAGGTGCCCTTCAAGCTCCGAACATGTTCTAAGGGTGTGCCTGGCAGCGTGTCATCTCTGACACACAAGTCTGGGCCCCCGGGAGCTTCTTAGGCTGACTGCACGCCATTGCATTCCGAGATTCTGTCATTTTCCTCCCGGGTGTTCTGTAGGCAGCAGATCCAAGTCCATCTGTTATTTTGTTTGTTTGTTTCTAGGTTTCATGAAATGTAGTGTTAGGACTGGTGTGTTTTTAAAAAACTATAAGATATTTTTGGCACAGCAGTAATTAGAAAACAATACACTCAGCTCCAATAAATTAATTGTCAAGTGGGACAAGTAGCCACAGTCCCTGGGATGGCACGTAGAAGAATTTTGAGTCAGAGATTTTGCTGGTTTTGGCATGCACTCACCAAAAGGTTGCCCACTCCTGCTCTAGGAAGTGGCAGCCAATGGTTTCTATTGGTTTAACCCTTTGCGGTCGTTTGTCTACTCTCAGCCACCAAAGCTTTTTTACCGTTCCGGTCATATGTCTGCTCTCAGCCACCACAGCAAGGAACCGTAAATCTTAACTCTATTCATTCATGTATCAGTTCATAATTTCTCTGAAAGCTCTTAAGTGTCTAAGCGACCTTGTCACGAACCAAAACATTGCCCCGACAAATCGGAGCTATCGAAACTCAATATAAACAAACGCGGTCGTTCCACACTCGCCATGCAAAACACCGTGCTGAGTTAGTCGCCTTTTGAGAGTGAAGAAATCGACAAGCTTCGGACATACTTCGCAGAATTTCAAATAAAGCTTTACAAATTACGTTTAACTGTAATTAGGCATTCTCGCTTGTTAAGATATTTCAAAATAATACTCCAAAATGGCAAAAATAAAGTTACCGAAAGAAGTGTACTGCAAATCTGAAAGTAACGATGAAGAGTTTTATTTTGGCACCTTGAATACTGACTCTGACATAGAAAGTGATAACGTTTGTAGTGGTTCTACTAGTAGTGATGTAGTTCCAAAAAAGAATTAATAAATCTTGTTTATCCTTCATAATCTTGCATGTTATGTATCACTGCTCTTTCAATGGAAATTAATTCCGACCAGTACGACACCCATGTCCAAATTTAATATGACCACAAAGGGTTAATCCTTTCATTCGACTGACCAATCAGGCGCCGCTGTCAAGTATTTAACACTTTGCTTCCAGCTGGGGATTCTCTGCTTCAGAGCCTACTTCGCTACCAGCCAGAGAGACAAGCCCGAAGGAGAAGGTGGTCGCTGCGAAGACACCCTGGGGGCGGCCTACCCACATCACCAGGTGCAGCAGGATACTGAGACTCCACGGTCGCCTGTCTGGGAACTCCAGACGCACCAGCAAGACCGGGCGTGTAAGCTGGCATGGACTGCCCATCCGAGCATGCACCGCACGCGCCGCCTGGGCTTGCGCAACCATTAGCTAGCTCCTGCCCTCAAAAGCTTTTCGCGACTGTGCAAGAGTCAGAGTACCAGGATCGAGAACTACAACTTCCGGCTTGCTTACTAACTGCGGTGGCGCTATTTAAAAAGCCTCGAGAGGAGGTGCTTGGCTACGTCCCTCTGTTCCAGTTCCGCTCCCTCAGAACAGAGGCCAGACGGGGGCGCAGCCTTAGGCCTGAGCCAAGATGGCATCTGCGAAACCAACCCCGACGGACTCGGACTCGCTCTCTTCCTGCCTCGCGCAGCTGACGGCGGCGGCCAGGGAGGGTCTACGTGGGACAAAGGACACAGCTACCAACGAGACACCCTTGGGCCGTGCGCTCTTAGCTCTCCGCAAGCGCCACGTCAAGGCAGCGGGAGGAATCGAGCGCTTCCGGGCACGCGGCGGGCTCCACCCCCTTCTGGTGCTGCTGCGGCGAGCATCTCCAGCGGGTCCCGCCCCGTCCCTGGCTGGCCCCGGCTCCGCCCCTTCGATCCAGTCCGCGGTTTCGGCTGGCCCCGCCCCCTCCTCTGCGTCCTTGTCCACCCTGGACTTGGTGCTTAGCATCCTAGCCGACTGCTGTACCCAAAGGGCGTGCCGGACTGAAGTGCGCAGACTCGGAGGCATTCTGTCTTTGGTGACTATTCTGGAGTGTGTGAAGACAGACAGCATCCAGAACCGAGCAGCCCGTGCTCTGGGCAACTTAGCCATGGAAGCTGAGAGCTGTGCGCACATCCATTCTGCTGGTGCTGTTCCCCTACTCATTGAGAGCCTGACGGCCTACCAGGACTCACCTTGTTTGCAGAGCGTGATTCGTGCCCTCCGCAACCTGGCGGACTCCCCCCAGCACCGCCTGGCCCTGGCACAGCAGGGAGCAGTGCGCCCACTGGCTGAGCTTCTGGCTGCTGCCCCAGACCCTGCGCTGACCTTGGCCCTACTCCGTGCCCTCCTAGAGCTGAGTCGAGACTGCTCCCGTGCCTGTGCTGAGCAGCTAAGTCTGGGTGGAGGACTAGGCCCACTGGTCAGTCTAGCCTCCCATCCCAAAGGGATAGTTCGCGAGTCAGCTGTCCTGATCCTTGCCAACCTGTGTGCCCAGGGCCTGGTACGGCCTGCCCTGGGCAATGCTGGTGGTGTGGAGGTGCTGTTGGGTGAGCTCCAGCAACGCCGAGGTCCCGGTGGGGCGGGCCCAGCCTCCCAGCAGCCCCTGGTGCGGGCTGTGTGCCTACTTTGCCAGGAGGCCATTAACCGAGCCCGGCTGCGGGATGCTGGTGGTTTGGAGCTGCTGATGGGACTCTTGCGGGATCCTCATGCCAGCGCCTGGCACCCTTGTGTCGTGGCTGCCCTTGAGGGCTTCCTCTATGATACAGGGGCCCTGGGCCAACTGCAGGCTCTGGGGCTTGCACCTCTCTTGGCCGGGCAGCTGTGTGGCGAGCTTGCTGATGAGGAAGGAGAGGGAAAAGAAGCTGCTTCCTGGGACTCTCCTGGGGAGCAGACCCCTGAGCGGGTAGAAGCCAGAAGCTTCCGAAGCGTCAGGTCGCGGCTGATATCCGAGGGCTACGCCACAGGCCCGGAAGACATCTCTCCGGACCGGTCTCCAGAGCGCTGTCCACGGCCTCCTCCACCGCCTGCGCCCCCTGAGCAGGCCCAGGTGGCCAGTCCCGCCCGGGGCCCAGCCTTGGTGCAGACGCCTCGAGGCCGCCGCCCTGCCACCGAGGAGTCTTGGGGCCGCGAGGGGCCAGCGCTGCTGCTGCTTTCACACTTCTCCCGTGCGCCAGACCCAAGCGGGGCGCTGGTGACAGGCCCGGTCCTGGGCGGCCTGCTGGCCTGCGTGACGAAGGCGCCGGGCCCACCGAGCCCGCGCGCACTGCGCATCCTGGCGCGCCTCACCTGCAACCCTGCCTGCCTCGAGGCCTTCGTGTGCAGCTATGGTGCCGCGCTGCTGCGAGCCTGGCTGGTGCTGGGTGTCGCCCCGGACGACTGGCCCACGCTGCGTGCCCGGCCCCCCAGTCAGCGCAGCCAGCACCAGGGGCTGGGTGAAATGCTGCTACAGAACCTGACGGTGCAGGCGGAGTCGCCCTTCGGGGTGGGGGTCCTCACTCACCTGCTGCTCTCCGGGAGTCCTGAGGACCGTGTGGCCTGTGCGCTGACCTTGCCCTTCATTTGTCAGAAGCCCTCTCTGTGGCGCCGGCTACTTCTGGACCAGGGCGGCCTCCGACTCCTCCTCTCGGCGCTGACGCGGCCAGCCCCACACCCACTCTTCCTCTTCTTTGCTGCAGACTCCCTTTCCTGCCTCCACAGCCTGGTGTCTCCCACGGTGAGCCCCGCCCCGCCACCCGCAAGCCCCTGGGACATAGACACACCCTCCCCTTGCCACTATGAACCTCTGCTGGGCCCAGCTCCCAGCCCAGCCCCGGATCTGCACTTCCTCCTGGACTCTGGCCTGCGGCTCCCCGCCCAGCGAGCTGCCTCATCTACTGCCTCCGCTTTCTTCCAGGCCCTGCTGGCTGGCAGCTTTGCTGAAGCCCAGATGGACCTGGTACCTCTTCGAGACCTATCACCCAGCGCAGCCTGGCCTGTCATGCATCACCTGCATGGTTGCCGGGGCTGTGGAGCAGCCCTGGGGCCCATTCCCCCGCCAGGCCAGCCCCTGCTGGGCTCAGAGGCAGAGGAGGCACTGGAGGCTGCTGACCGTTTCCTGCTGCCGGGGCTGGAGGAGGAACTGGAAGAGGCTGTGGGCCGTATCCACCTGGGATCCCAAGGTAGCCCAGAGTCAGTGGGTGAGGTATTCCGCCTGGGCCGGCCTCGGCTGGCTGCCCACTGTGCACGCTGGATCCTGGGGCTGGGGCAGTGCCCACGGAAGCGGGCTCTGGCCTTAGTGGGGCTGTTGGAGGCAGCAGGCGAGGAAGCAGGTCCCCTGACTGAGGCTTTACTGGCTGTGGTGATGGGAGTTTAAGTGGGGAGCAGGGGTCCCAGCCTAGACTCTTGATATCCCCTCGAGGGGACCCAAGAATGAATTGGCAAGAAGAAGGCCTCCCTTGGAGTGGCACGGGGAGGAGGCTAAGCAGGAGTCACCACTGAGGACCGACGAGAGGATGGAACTGGGCCCCAGGACATGGGCTGCAGACTCAGGAGTGAGAAGCCGAGACTGAGGCCTGGGCATGGGGACTTTGAGATGGAGAAGAGCCCAGCCTTCTGGGGTTGGGATTAAAACGTTGGAGTTGGATATTCAACTACATCATCGAGAACTATCTATGGCACCATGATTCTTATTATATAGATATTCTCCTTTTTCTTTTCTCTCCTATCTTTTTTTTTCTTTCTCTCTCTTAGATATCATTTGTGCTCTCTTTCCTCTCCCCTAATTCTCTTTTCTCAGGTGGTCACTGATATTGGGGCTATCGGTGTCGTGAGTACATTCATGCTTTGTTCCCTTTGGGTCATGTCTTGTTCAGGTGAATTTTATCCTGCCTGACTAAAGTGCTAGAGAGCAAGCCACATAACCAGACACCTGGAGAGGAAATTTCATTAACGAACGGGTCAATTACACCCCTAGACCCAGCTACAGAGGCAGGAAGAAGGCGGCAGCGAGGATGCAAAAGAGGAGTGTGTGGTTGTGTGTGGGGTGTGTGTGTGTGTGTGTGTGTGTGTGTGTGAATGAAGCAACGTTATTCTCTTCCTTAGTCCTGTTAATCCCTAACTCCAGGGAAAAGTCCCGGTGGGATGTATATTGGATTAAGAGGCAGGAAACCTTGTGTATAGTCCTGGGACCCACAGGGTGTTGGGATATGAGTGAGGCAAGTCGCTCTCTGTGCTTCGGTTTCCTCATTTAGAAACAAATGGATGGGACGCCTTAATTTTTAAAACATTTCAGCTTAAACAGTCCAGGACTCTTGCTAGTGCTATTGAATGGTTGTTAATAACAAGTTCCATTTCCCCTTTGTTCTCCACTTGAGCCCTTCCCCCTACTTCATCAGAGGAACTTGACAGAGGGAAAAAGGCAGATTACAGGTTCGAGAGGAAGGAGGGGACTGTTAATAGGTTATTCACAAGCAGTGTCAGTTCCTGCCCGACAGGCACCATCTCAAGCCTTAGTGTCAAGAGGTTGTTCTCCCAGCATCAGCTGTTTGGAATTCTTGAGATAATGGAAGCCAAGCCGGAAAGTCATCAAAAGCTCCATCCCCCCCCATCCTGGGGTTGAGGATGGGTCGGTAGGTGGGTGAGAGGGATCTGTATTCCTTCCCTAAGTCCAGAATCTGCTGGTTTTGTGGAAGGCTCTGGTTATACTGGTTTATAAGTTTCAATTCCTAGGCTCTTCTGTTTCTTGAGGATGCCACAGTTCTCTACTCTAGAACTAAAAGAACTTGACCTTTGACCTAGCTATTGTAAGCTCCCTACTTCTCTATCCACAACAAATACTGATTATAGTCTCCACATCTCCACTCGCTGTCTGACATCTGACTTCACAGGGAATGGGCTTCAATGGACCAGGATGCTTTCACTCGCCAGACTGAAAGTACAGATGCACCCTACAGACTTCTGCTATTGGCTTTTCTCATCATGTTGATCTTTGGGTTTTGGCCATCAGTCTTGACTGAGCACAAGATTTATATGTCCTTTTTCTTTGCAATTGGGACTTCCGATCATCTTTGACTCATAACTCAGGCTCCTAGTCCCATCCTTCAGCTCAGTTTTTCCTATGGACCACCATCGAAAGCTTAGGTTTTCTGCCACATGAATCATAAGGTACCATTGTTTGACAAACAGGAAAATGAGCTCTTATGTTACTGACATTTTTGGGTTTGGAGTGGAGTCTCTAGTTGTTTGACCTATATTTCCTGGGGAAATCTGAGAATATAAGCATTCTAGAAGCAAAACATTTCAGAACTGGAGTTGACCACATCACCAGAAATGCTTGCATATTTTTCTTGTCTTTAATAGGTAATAAGTGCATAGCAAATTGCCCTGCCAGAGCTTGTGGGGAATTTAATTAATTGCTTGTTGGTAACACATGGAGTCATTCCTCAATGGCTTCAATTCATTTGTCCAAAAATAACCCCAAAGATGAATTGCACATTAGATTTACTGCCTATAATTTTGTAGCTTGCAGATGCTACTGTGGGAAGCAGTCACTAATTTAACAATTTAGAAACAATTTGGGCATAGTTGTGTGGAAATAAAGGTATTTGATTCTGCTTTATGAACTCAGGTTTTTTTTTTTTTTTTTTTTTTTTTTTTTTTGTGTGTGTGTGTGTGTGTGTGTGTGTGTGTGTATGATATTTATGAGTTTGACCAGCAGGAGCTTTGGATTCCCATTAGTGGTCACAGCTGCTCACTGTGAACGTGGCAGTTTGCTACATTGAAGAACTTGCTGCCCAATAGCTTATTGGTCAGGTCAAAAGGTATGGGGCAACATCACAAGATGTTTTTGAGTGTTTGCAAATTCCTAGGGAAACTGTTCTTATTCCAAATGCTATAAATTTTAAAGAAGGAATGCTTTCGATATTTAAAATAATTACTTAGGCGTCATCATTTATGATTGCTCAAGTTCTTTGGCTCATTGCCAAGGCAACCCCATTTGTAATGTAGGCCCCTATATGGTGTGCAAGTAGGAATGTCCTAGACCATGGGGTTTGCCAGACTTTAGGACTTGGTATCCAGCAGAACTTGACATTAGGGACTTCTAGAGGGTTAAAGCTGCAAATGTCCCTTGAGGTCATTTAAACCAGTCCCTTGTTTTATTTATTTATTTTTTAAAAAATATATTTTATTGATGTTTTTACAGAGAGGAAGGGAGAAGGAGAGGAATAGAGAGTTAGAAACATCAGTGAGAGAGAAATATTGATCAGCTGCCTCCTACACACCCCCTACTGGGTATGTGCCCGCAACCAAGGTACATGCCCTTGACTGGAATCGAACCTGGGACCCCTGAGTCCGCAGGCCGACGCTCTATCCACTGAGCCAACTGGTTAGGGCTAGCCCCTTGTTTTAAAGTTGAAGGAATTCAGACTCAGGATGTGAAAGGAGTTGATTAAGGCCACCCATCTTTTTAGCAGAAGAAATGGTTGCAGAATCCAGGACTCCTGATTGCCAATTTAATTCTCCTTTTGCCATATGCTGAAAAGGATTCAAACTAAATGAGCAAAACAATAGCTAAAATATTGATTTTTTTAGGTGCTTTTAATGAAATTCTGCTGAGGAAACTGAGAGGCATAACATTGGAAGGGGTTCTACTCAGCCACATTTTTAGCTCATTCTCTTCTCTGAAATGTGTTGATAGCAACCTGTTTTCTTTCTAAGTTTAATACTCTGACCTTTTAATTTTGTGCATACTTAAAATGGATTTTTTTCCCTGCGAATTTAGGGGTTGGCTTTTGTTTTCTGTCAGTTTATGGAACTAAGACCAGATAAAAGCATTCAAATGAATTATGCAAAGTTCCTGTGAAGTGAGGGATAACCATCCCCCACGTTGAGAAAACATACTTTTGCCTTCAAGTCTGGGAACTGTGTGTATTTAATTACGCACAGAATGTGCTGCTGGGAGAAACCCAGACTTAGGAAAGGCCTGCTGGTGACTGCCATGCTCTGAGTTGAGGCTAAGCCTGGTGATGGCAGACAGGCGAGTGGGCAGCTGGCACAAGGCCACTAGAGGGCAGTGTTAACTTACGCATCAGCCCTGAAACCGGTGGGTGTCCTAGGCCAAATGAAATAAACAGCAGGCAATGTGTTGGGCATCGACTTCTCCCTGAGTTCTAGACATGCAAGGATAAGTAATTATGTGCTGGCACTTTTTTTGAGCCTGGGTATCCTGGACTCATTTTGAAGTTCTAATCTTTGTAGTGTAGAGAAAAGGACACAGGATAGAATATCAACAGATCCGGAATCTAGTCCTAGTTCTACCACTCATTAATTCAGTTTCCTCATCTGAAAAAGTGAGTGGTTCTAATATTTCTCCTATAAAATCTATGAGTCAGCTGGTTCTTCTTTTCTGCCCTGTTCCCTCCTGGGGCCCAATGAATACTCAATTTTACCCCACAGTTTACCTCTGACTTTTAAAGAGAAATCAGGATATCCTCTGCATAGGTAAATCTCACCTTTCTGTCTTGGCTACAAGGTCAGGCTTCTCTTCCAGGAACGTTTCTTGCAGTGTCACCTTCTCCTTCTCCCCTCTCCTCCCCAAGGTAGTCACTGTGGCTTATCAAGGCTCACATAATTGCTTATCAGCAAACATGCCTAGTGACCCTTGTTATAAGTTGAACTGTGCTCCCTTCATATGGTGAAGTCCTAACACCCAGCACCTCAGAATGTGACTTTATTTGGAAAGAGGGTAGTTTCAGATGTAATTAGTTAAGTTAGGATGAGGTCATATTGGAGTAGAGCAGACTCCTAATCCATTATGACATGTGTCCTTAAAAAAAAGGGAAATTTGGACACAAATATGCATTCCAGGAGAATGCCATGTGAAGATTCAAGTTATGCTGCCAAAACCCAAGGAACGATCAGAGGCCAGGAGAGACACTGGGAATAAATCCTCCCTCTGTGCCTTCAGAATGAGCATGGTCCTGCGGATGCCTTGATCTTGGACTTCCAGACTCAGAACTGTGAGACAGTAAGTTTATGTCACCTAAGCTGCTCAGTTTGTAGCACTTCGTTATGGCAGCTCTTACAAACTCATACAACCTGAATGGGCATTCAGTTAAGTCATTGGAATATGTGCTGACTGTGGAGTTTCCTAGATGGTTGGCAGATTACAATGATTAGTCCTGCCCCCTGTATTGTACTCCACCAAGGTCAATATTACTGCCTTGTTCAAAACGACAACAATTTTTGTATAACTTATGATATGTGGTAAGTTTGGTAGGAAGAATGCAACCATCCAGGGGTAATACAATTTATCCTTCTTTAATACTTAGTTATCCTTATGTTTCCCCAACTTAAGCTGGCCTCAGAGACAAATGTGCTGGCAGTTCACTGATTTCAAACTATGTTCAACTTTAAATAGTATTTGAAATGCAGAAATCCTCCTTTAATGAATAAATCAAGGCAAAAGTTTGATCTTCAACTGTTCTTAACAAAATAGATCAATTCACAGCTCTTGCTTTTGATCATAGACA